CGTTTGGGCCTTCGGTTGAGTTCCCCATGGGGCAGCGAAGCGTGGGAGAGGTGTGCCCAAATCGGCCCGAGACGGCATGCGGACGGAGCACCTGGAGCATTCGGTGGAGCCCCCTATCGCGCAGCGAAGCGTGTGAGGGGTGTGCCGAAGTTGACCCGAGGCAACGTGCGGACGGAGCCAAGACGACCATCCTGTGAGCTGCCTAGGGGTAACGACAAGTGAGTGCGATGCCGACAAGAAGGATGATTGTGGTAACGAGTATGATGATTGTGATGCTGGCGCTGGCGACGATGACGATGCTGCTGTTGGTGATGATGCTGCTGATGATGATGAGGATGCTGATGATGAGGATGATGATGATGAGGATTTGGATATTGATGTTGTTGATTCTGAAACAAGCTGATGATGCTGATGATGATGCTAATTGTGGTGGTAGTGATGACGATGATGATGACGAAACTGGCGATGACGATGAGGATGAACATGACGACGACGATGACGATGACGATGACGACGACGACGATGATGATGATGATGATGAGGATGATGATGCTGATGATGATGATGATGATGATGATGATGATGATGATGATGCTGATGCTGATGATGATGCTGATGATGCTGATGATGATGCTGATGCTGATGATGATAATGCGGATGGTGATGCTGATGATGCTGATGTTGATGCTGATGCTGATGCTGCTGCTGATGATTATGCTGTTGATGACGCTGATGATGATGATGATGATGATGATGATGATGGTGGTGGTGGTGATGATGATGATGATGATGATGATGATGATGATGATGATGATGATGATGCTGATGATGATGATGCTCATGACAAGGATGAGGATGAGGGATGCGTGAGACGCGCGGCGCTGCGAATTCAAAACGAGGGACCAACACACGGCAGGGTTGGGAACAAGATCCGGCTCGGGAAATCCAGCCTTAGAATGGTGTCAAGCGTTTTGGCCGAGTTTCTCGGTGCGAAGACATGAGTTCTTCGAGACGCTGGATGTCTGCTTTAGGCAACCCCGCGATACAAGTACGGCAGGTTGTTTTGGCCGCGTTCACGCGGCGGCGACCCCAGCGCCGGCGTGCACAGATGGACGCTTCCAGTGCCTCTTGGCCGGCATCGAGCGATCCGCGCAGTCAGAACGCCGCGATCGTTCCAGGCTGAATGATCCACGCGGTGTCAGAAATCAACGCCGGCGGCATGACGAAAGCGAACCCGCCGTGAATCGTTCCATGGCTTTACGGGGCGCTTTCAGAGTGTTCAGGCGCGCTCTGGAGCGGCTCCAGCGCCAAGTTCATCCTCTTGGCATCCTGGTCCCCTCACAGATCCCCGGGTTATCCGTGCCCGGTGTTTGGTCGTACAGTCAGCCCGCATAGTAAGGATGTGCAATTTTCCAAGGTTATCCTTGCATCCTTCCCCTTCGGCCCATTTTTGGCCGCCTTTGCTGGTCAAGGAGCCCCGCCCGCAAAGTGCCGACATGGCTTTCCAAGGCCCTTGTATCCTTATTGCGCGTCCTTATCATGCGGGTTGACTGTATCACTCCTCCACTCAGCACCACGACTGGCAGCAGGTCCTGTTCACTCGTCCACCTCAGAGCCAGGCTGGTGTCACTTTGGGGCCTCCTGTAGGCATGCCTGGAAACTAACAAGGGCCAACCTTGGACCCCTTTCTGTGTTTCCATCCGTCTATTTTTCCATGTCTCTGCCTGTGTCTTTGCCTTGCCCCTGTCTCCCTCCATGCCTTGCTCTGGGCCGCGCGCCCTCTCCGCCCGCCCGTGCCCGCGCCCACGCCCGCGCCTGCGCGTCTGCGTGCGTACAGATGCCTGTGTCAAGACGTGCGCCTGCGCCGACTGTGCCCGCGCATGCGCGTGCGTCTGTGCCTGTGCTTGCGCCGATGCTGGCTTTGTCCTTCTTCGCGAACCTGCGCTGCGCTGGGGGCAGCGAGGCTGAGCTCGCTTCCTTGGCTGTGCGCCGCTCGCGCAGCTGGCGAAGGTGCCGGACTAAATCGGCACCGTGCTGAGGCGCTGGCGGCCGCGCCGTTTTGCCATCTGTCCGCGAATCAAAACACCTCCGCCTGCGCCTGCGCCTGCGCGCGCGCTCGCGCTTTGGTCCTGCGCTTGCCCATGCCTGCGTGCGTGCTTGTTATCGCGGGCCGATGATCACAAGCCGGTCCTCCTCTCGTCGTCGTCGTCGTCGTCGTCGTCGTCGTCGTCGTCATCGCCGCCGCCGCCGTCGCCGTTGTGGTCGTCGTCGTCGTCGTCGTCGTCGCCGCTGTCGTCAAATCGACGGCTGCGCGAGGCGAAGTGGGCGGCCGCGGCGAAGGTGGTTGCCTCTCGGATGAGGCCCGCCCCGCCACGGGGGGCCGCATGTCGCCGGGGGTTATATGAAAGGAAACCTCCTCCTCCACCCCCCCTCCTTTTCCTCCTCCAGCCGGCGGTGCAGGGGATCCTCAGGCGCGGGCGGCAGATGGAGGTACCATTTGCGATCGGTCATTGTCGAAGGCACAGGGCACAACCCGCGCGCATTATCGAATGCAGCGATAAGTGGTGTGGCGAAACAATTGTAAAACCAGGCGAACCGTGCAGCGCCCAGAGAACCGAGGAGGCAGCTCAACTCGAGGTAAACTGAAGCGCAAGCGGTCTGTTGCGAATTGGCGGCCACATAATCACCACATAAGTGTTAGGCATCGAAGCGCACGAATTAAGTGAGCTGTACCGACTACCAGACTAGTCAACGTGAGTGCAGCAAGGACTCACCACAGAGACGAGTTGGTGCGTGGCAGCCTAACATGCGGCCGCTGAACCACCAGTCGGTGTAACAAGGAACCGCAAAAGTTACGTTGCTGAACATGTTGGTAATGCCCGCGGTCATGCGGCCAGATGGGTAATTAAGGTGTGGACCTGCCATCCCAACTCGACCGCGATGCGGCGTGAAGGGGGACCTGCCACGCCAGCTGCAGAGACATCAATAATCTGGACCACGGACGCGTCCAATGCAGCAAACTGCAGATCACAAAGGTACACACAAATACGCACAGGCACACAGACACACAGACACACAGACACACACACACACAGACACGGACCCAGACACACAGAAACACACACACAGGCACACATAGACAACACACACACACACGCACGCAGACCTTCACACAGACACACACACATATCCACACACAGACACACACAGACACACACAGGCACACACAGGCACACACAGAGACACACAGACACACACAGACACACATACAGACACACAGGCACACACAGACATACAGACACACACACAGGCGCACACACACAGGCACGCGCACAGACACGCAAACACACAGACACACATACACATACACACAAACACACACACACCGACACACAGACACACACGCAGACACACACAGACACACACAGGCACATACACACACACACGCACACAGACACACACAGACACACACACACACACGCACGCATGCACGCACCCACGCACGCACACACAGGCACACACAAGGACATATAGACACATCTACACACACCACACATCACACGCACTCACGCACACACGCATATATACACGCACACGCGCACGCACGCACACACGCAAACACGCACACACGCACACGCACGCACACGCATGCACACGCACGCACGCACGCACACGCACGCAAGCACGCATTCACGCACAGACGCACACACGCGCACACGCACACCCCCGTTCACGCACACACGCAAACACGCGCAAACGCGCACACGCACGCGCACATGCGCACACGCGCACACGCGCACATGCGCACGCCCACGCACACGCACAGGCACACACACACACACGCACACGCACAACACACACGCACGCACGCACGCACGCACGCGCACTTACACACGCGCACGCACAGGCACACGCACACGCACCGCACACGCACACGCACACGCACACGCACACGCACACGCACACGCACTCGCCACGCACACGCACGCACACGCACACGCACACGCACACCCACACGCACACGCACACGCACACGCATACGCCCACGCACACGCACTCGCACACTCACACGCACACGCACACGCACACCCACGCGCACACCCATACACCAACACACACCCCCACACCCTCACACTCCCCCACACCCCCCCACACCCACACCCACGCCCACACCCACGCCCACGCCCACACCTACGCCCATGCCCACGCCCACGTCACCCCCACGCCCACGCCCACGCGCACGCCCGCCCGCCCGCCCGCCCGGACGCACGCACGCACGCACGCACGCACGCACGCACTCACGCATGTGTACGCGCACACACGCGCACACACATGCACTCTCATGCGCACGCACACGCGCACGCACGCTGGCCCACGCGCACGCGCACGCATACGCACACACGCACGCACACACACAAGCACACACACACACAAGCACGCACACGCACGCATGCACTCACGCACGCACATACGCACACACGCACACGCGCACACGCACGCACACCCGCACGCATACGCACGCATGCACGCACACACGTACACATGCACACGCGCACACGCGCACACGCGCACACGCGAACACACGCACACACGCACACACGCACACACGCACACACGCACACACGCACACACGCACACACGCACACGAGCACAAACACACAAACACACAAACGTTGGTTCCTTGGAAAGTAGGGGAACATGTGGGAAACGGAGGGGGAAGAGGGAAACCCAGAATATGTTGAAAAGTATTGGGGGTCTTTGAACCTGTGCCTCTGTCTGTTGGCCGACGACGCCGACGCCGACGCCGACGCCGACGCCGACGCCGACCACGACGCCGACGACGCCGACGCCGACGCCGACGCCGACGCCGACGCCGACGACGCCGACGCCGACGCCGACGCCGACGCCGACGACGACGACGACGACGACGAGAATTGGCCGTGGCAGCCCCCCGCGCTGCCTCGCAGGAGCCTCCCCCCCTGGGGGCCGCGGCGCGGAGCATGGCGGCCGAGGCGGCGGCCGCAGACGGCCCGGGGCGGCCGGGGGCCCCCGCGGCCCCCGCGCGGGTGTTCGAGCACGCGTCGGCGGCCCAGGCCCGGCCCGTCGGAGGGCACGTCAGGAGGGAGTCCAGGGAGGAGAAAAGGTTCCGACACACCGCTCCCCTTGCCTCGTTTTGGTTTTTTTTCGCCTCCTGCGAGGCCCTCGTCGCCACCGCCGGATTCGCCACTTGTCAGAACGCGCCCGGGGAGAGGGCTGGGGAGTAGCGGTATCCGTATTTCTTGGTTTCCCCACAGGCCTGGTCGTCGGAGGGCACGTCATACCAGGCAGGTCTCATTTCGACTCCTCCGACTTGGTTCGATTCGATTTCGATGGCTTCCGATTCCGGTTCGTTTCGACTTCGGATTCCGATTTGGGTTCCGGTTGCTCAACGCAGGTCTGATCAGCCTGCCGATTTCCGCTGATTCGACTTCTCCCGACTTGGCACGTCCGAAGGTTGGAGCCTGCTGTGGGTCTGAGGTGGCCCATCACGGGTTCTGGCCAGCACGTACGCGGGCAGGTCCGAGGCGCTGTGTTCGGCAAGGCTTTTGCCTTCTTCGGCTTCTGGGGGCCGTTTTCGGGTCCTGGGGCCTTCAGAAACGGATCTGGAGTGAAAGCGTGAAACTTTGCACCATATGGACCCAGGAGGGGTCCGCGGATGGATTTTGAGCGGATTTGCCTCCCCCCTCCTGACTGATCTCGTCGGGTCCCAGCCAGTTCAACCCCCTCCGGCCGCCTCCAAATCGGAGGGCACGTCAGAAGGAAGGGGATGCTCGGGGTCTTCTGTCCCAGTCCTGCGGCCCGCTTCGGGTCCCGAGGCCGTCGGAGTTCGATCGGGGATGAAAGAACTGGTCAGGATGGAAGGTCGGTCGCATCGCTGTTTCAGGCCTTGGACGTCTGCTTCGGGGGACCAGGGCCATAGAGCCACCATTGCTCAGAATGAAGCACCCGCCCAGGGGACAATCGAACAATCGAGGGTATCTGGGGTCGTCGTCGTCGTTCGTTCGTTCGTTCGGTCGTCCGTCCGTCCGTCCGTCCGTCCGTCGTCTTTTTCGTCGTCTTTTTCGTCCTCGTCGTCGTCTTTTGTCGTCGGTCGTCGGTCGTCGGTTGTCCCAGGATTGGCCTGGCCAGGTCGATCGTTGGTGTGCAGTGGGCGCCCTCCCTAAGGCCATCGTCGCTGCCACTCGGCAGCAGGGCAACCCCATCCTGAGCCACGTGCGCGCCACCCGCGTGGAGTTCCTGGAGGGGCTGGTGCCGGACTACCTCGCTGGGCCGGGCATCGCCGTGCTTTTTATCAGCCTGCGCTTCCAGCGGCTGCACCCGGACTACCTGAAGCGGCGGGCAGAGGCGCTCGAGGGGCGACATCGGGTCCGCGTGCTGCTCTGCCGGGTAGACCTGGAGCAGCCGGAGGAGCCGCTGGAGCAGGTGACGCTGCTGGCCTTCCACGGGGAGCTCACGCTGCTGCTGGCATTCTCGGACCTCGAGGCCGCCGCGTACCTGGAAACGCTGCACCGGTACCAGAACAAGAGCGCCAGCGCCATCGTCAAGAGACTGACGGAGGGAGACCACCGCACGCGCCTGGTGGAGGTGCTCACCTCGGCGAAGTGCGTCAACAGGACGGATGCGGCTTCGCTGGCGGCACGCTTCGGGTCGTTCGCGGGCATCGCGAGGGCCACCGAGGAATCGGGCCCGCTTGGGCGAAAGCGGGGCACTGGGAAATGGGGGAGCTGCAACACCTGCTGCATGCAGCTGGTTTCGGCCCCGCCGCCCAGCGTTTTCCTCGACGCGCGGACGCCTCTGGTGACGAGAGGCGCCGGAAAAACCCGGTGCATGCTGCCGATTCGCTAGCCCCTATCTTTGCTGTCCCCTCCCTTTCTCGCCCACTCCGAGAGGAGAAGATGGAGGAGGAGGCGGAGGCGGAGGCGGAGGAGGAGGCGGAGGAGGAGGAGGAGGAGGAGGAAAAGGAGAAGAAGGATGATGATGATGATGATGCTGATTCTGATGCTGCTGATGATGATGATGATGATGATGATGATGATGATGATATTCATGATGATGCTCATGATGATGATTCTAATGCTGATGATGACGATGCTGCTGATGATGATTATTATGATGATGACGATGTTGACGCTGCTGATGCTGCTGATGATACTGATGATGCTGATGATGCTGATGATGCTGATGATGATGGTGACGATTCTGATGATGATGACGACGATGATGATGATGCTAATGATAATGATGCTGATGATGATGATGATTCTGACGCTGATGATGCTGATGATGCTGCTGATGATAATGACGATGATGCTGCTGATGATGATACCGATGATGATAATGATGATGCTGACGCTGCTGATGATGATACTGATTATGATGCTGATGATGACTATGATTCTGATGCTGATGATGCTCATGCTGCGGATCCTGATGCTGATGATGGTGCTGATGCCGATGATGCTCATGATGTTGACGATGCTGATGATGATGATGATGATGATGATGATGTTGACGATGATGATGATGATGATGATGACGATGATGATGATGATGATGATGATGACGATGATGATGATGATGATGATGATGATGATGATGATGATGATGATGATGATGATGATGATGATGATGATGATGATGATGATGATGATGATGATGATGATGATGATGATGATGATGATGATGATGATGATGATGATGATGATGATGATGATGATGATGATGATGATGATGATGATGATGATGATGATGATGATGATGATGATGATGATCATGCTGATGCTGATGCTTATGATGATGGGGCCACTTGGAGCCCATGTGGAGCTCGGGGGCCTCTCGGAGCGCTCCTGGAGCGCTCTTGAAGCTGTTTTCGGAGCCCTCTTGGGCCGTCTTGGACGCCCTCCAGCCCGTCTTGGGGCCCTCCAGGGGTATGTGGGAGACCCTCTGGGAGGCTTCTGGGATCGTCTGGGAGTGGGTTTGGTGGCCTCGTGGCCCGTCGGATGCATCGGAAAAGCCCAAAGTCGAACTTGTGAAAAATGTCTGTTTCACGAAGGGAATGGGCCAATTTTTCCGTCTCGGAACCCTCTGGAAACGCATCTCGGAGGCCCTCGGGGGGGCTCGTGGAGCCCTCTTCTGCCATCCGGGACGCCTCGTGGCCCGTCTTTGGGCTGCCGTGCGCGTCGTGGACCGCTCGTTGGGGATCCAGAACCATGTCGAGGCCACCCCAGGAGTCCCTGCACGATTTCCACGAGATTTTGCACGCCTTTCTGGACGGATGACCCCTCTGGGGACACCCGGCGCCGCCCGGAACTTCCGGGTAGACCCCCCCCCTCCAAATCGGCCGGACCGGGCCCCGGGGGGAGGGGCTTGGGGAGGGGGAACATCTCACACGCCGATGAACCCCAAGGGGTCGGCGGATTCCACCGCGAACCAACGTAACTTCTGCACCCGCAAAATGCGGAATCCTTCCAAAACACCGTTTATGATACGTTGACCGGGGGAATTCGTGAAATTCTTGCAAAGCGTATGAACGAATGTGCGCGGCGCTGGGGCGAGAGCCACATTTTGAAAAGGCACCGCCCTCAATCCCTGAAGCTCTTGCAAATATTTGAAACGAATGTGCGCGGCGCCAAGGCGAGAGCCACATTTTGAAAACCACCCGCCCTCCATCTGTGAAGATGTTGACATTTTTAAGTTTCAGACTCATAAGCGGTGAGGATGTCTCAGGCGAAACGCCCGACCCGCCATACAAAACTGGCCACGGGGTGCGAAGGGGAGAAGTTTTTTGTTAGAATGAATGGAGGAGGAGGAGGAGGAGGAGGAGGAGGAGGAGGAGGAGGAGGAGGAGGAGGAGGAGGAGCGAAAACCGAGGAGCGATTAGCGAGGAGCGAGGAGCGAGGAACGAGGAGCGAGCAGCAAGGAGCGAGGAGCGAGGAGCGAGGAGCGAGGAGCGAGGAGCGAGGATGATACTGAGGAGGAGGGGAGGAGGAGGAGGAGGAGGAGGAGGAGGAGGAGGAGGAGGAGGAGGAGGAGCAGGGCAAATTTTATGTTCCTGGGGCCCTCTGCTTGCCCCCCACCCCGTCCTCGCCCGCCCCTGGGAGGAGGAACTGCAGGGCTGCCCGGGCATCGGGGACAAGAAGTTGCGGCAGCTGCGGCACGCGCTCCACGCCCCCTTCTTCCCCTCCTGAGGGCCCCGCGGCGGCCGCATGTGCCCCGAACTCTGGGCTGCAGGAGGGGGGTCCTCCCGCCGCCCCCCTCAGGCACAGCTTGACGTGCTTTCTCTCCTCCTGTCCTCCTCCTCCTCCTCCTGCTCCTGCTCTCCTCATCCGCTTCCTCCTCACGCTTCCCCAGAGACATATTCTAGATTCCCGAATCGACTGTCTAATGTCGGCCCCCCCGCTTGTAGACTTGGCTTGGCCACTAATCTTCCTCCTCCTCCTCTTCCTCCCCTCCGCTATCACTACATCTGAGTACTACCCTCCCTTCTCTCTATTCCCACGTGTTTTTTTCTCAGCCGGAGCGTTTTGTGGTATCTCAAAGCAGTACTTCCCCTTCAGCGTTGGCCTCAGTTTAGGATCGGCGCTTTGCCCCTGTCGTTCAGAATGGCGCTCTCGCCCCAGCGCGGCCCACTTTTGTGGATTCGAATCCTTATCGCTGTCGCCCCGCTCTTTTCCGCTTTTCAACCTTCCCCTGGTCATCCTGCTCCTCCTGCTTATCCTATTCCTGCTTATGCTGCGGCTGTTGCTCCTCCTCTTTCCCTTTCTTCCGTATCCATTTAGGCTCAAACCAATTTGGCTCAAGTCCGTAGCGGTTTTGGTCAGAACTTGGCATTCTGGCGTGGGGGAGTGATGGCCCCCGACAGCTCAGAGTCTCCCTCTCAGCCTGCCAAGGCTGGAGGCTCTTCCGTTTCACATACTCTCACTGCTGCAGCTCTGAGGTGTTCAGCCTCGCATGAGCAAACAGCATGCGCCTTGGGTTTATTCTCGCTCTGCTGCTGGTGAGTAGAAGCTCGCAGCCGCCAAACCAGACTTGCTCAAATGTTGGTCATGCGGCTGTGGAAGTCATAGGAAGTTGGCTAACATTTGCTTCCAGTGCGGCGCGCCCCTCTACTCCAAGGAGCCATGGCCTGAGCAGCAGCTGGCCGTGGCAGTGGCGGGGGCGCCAGGCAAGCCAGGGCGCTGGCGCAACGGCCGTGGGCGCGGCGCTGGGGGCGATGCAGCAGGAGGCAGAGGCAATGGCAAGGGCAAAGGCGACGGCAAAGGGCAGCCAGGTGACCCACTCCCACCTCTGCGCGCTGGGCCCCAGTTCGTCAACGGTGCTGACCCCAGGGCGTTCGATGTCCACAGGATGCAGCTAGAAGAGGTCCAGCAGCTCTCGGCTCTGGCATGCAAGCAGGGCCTCACCATGGTTGCCAGCCAGTGCAAGCCCCGCCTGCTGGAGTTGGACCGCCTGGCTGCTGGTCCTGTGTCTTTGCTGCCTGCGAAGCAGCTGTACGAGAGAGATGGTCACATCAAGCGAATGGAAAAAAGAGCTGGGTTTGGTCGATAAGTGGGAAAAGAGCAGACACGGCAGAGAGATAATATTCAAGAGCTCAGCGTTGAGCTCGACGCTTTCGACTCCAAGATCGCTGGCCTCAAGCTTAAAGCTCTCTGAGGAAGCCAACCGGTCCGCGTTCCCAAGATGTCCCTCCAGCGGCATGAACGCGGCTGGACACTCTTGAACGGAATTTCACTATCGATTTTGGAAATCTGTTCGAAATGGGGGACGAGGAATATGACTTGTCGGAAGGGAAGAAGAAGGAGCTCCAGCAGCGAAAGCAGAAGTTTGAGGAAATTGCTGAACATGCCAAGTCTCTTTTCTCTCTAGCCAAAGACCAGTTCGATAAACTGAAGGCTGATCATGCTCAGCAGTGCGCAAAGCTTGCAGAGAAGCGCAAGGCCTCTGACGGCTATGCTCGGGATGCAGGCGGTGGCGAAGCAGGCGGCGCAGCGGCGGCGGCCGCGGCCCCAGCTAAATCCGAGATGGTGGGGATCGACGACTCCGCTTCCAATGCTGCTCCTGATGTGCGTGCTCGTGCCCGTGCTAACAGAAACAGGTTGGAACAGGCAGGGGTCCTTGATGGCGCCTCTGCCTGAGGGGGCCCAGTCCCTCGATGGAAGGGGCGTGCAGGACAGACCTGGGCGCCCGCAGGGCCTGCCGCCCCTCGGAGGCTTGCCTAGCTTCTGGGCGGCGAACTCGGAAGAACTGGAGTGGCCTGCTCTAGGTTTTCGCAGTCGCAGCAGCTGGTGTTCCTGACGCGAGGCTGCTTGCGGGGCGGGGCGCTGGTATCCCGGGCCTCAGGTTCGCGCCGAGGCTCTGGCCAGGCCGGCGCCGTCGGCCATGGGGCGTCCGCCCAAGTACGACGAGTTCGACGAGCCCGACGTGATCTTCCAGGACGGCCTCAACGCGGCTGCCTCGAGGTGGATCCCGTTGCTGACCGAGCCCCATTCTGGCGAGGCCAGCTGGGTGGGGGCCTGCGCGCCGTCGACGATGGAGCTTCCGTGGAGGCCCGCGCGCGCTCATTGGGTGCGAGATGCTCTTGATGGACGCGCTCTCCAGGAGCTCGCTGAAGATATGTGCAGTGAAGCTTGGGGGGCGGCCAGAACCAATCGCGAAAACATAGCGGACTACTTGCGGTGGCTGGAGGGCCAGTCCGAGGGGCTCAGGGCCCAAGAGGAGGCCCGCCACTGGAGAGAGTCCAACGGATGAAATGCGAAGGTTTGGCGAAGGCAGAGGCCTGGCTTCGGGCGCGGGGGTTGGGGGCTCAGCCCCCGCCAGTCGGGCCCCGCGCCCGCGGGAGGGGCGGTTTCGGCGCCGCTTTCAGCTCCGGGGGTTGCGAGTGGACCGTGTTCCGCCGCTGGATCTGGCGCTGGGGCCAAGGCCCCCCTAGGCGCCAGCAGCGCCGCCGCCGCCGTAGAGGCTCCGGCAACCTGGGGGCCCGCCGCCGCCGCGCCTCTGGTGCCTGATGGGGGCCCAGCCACAAGGTCGCCGCTGAGGGGCGCGGACTCCTCCAGAGACCAGCGCGAGCGCCGCTGCCGCGCGGGCTCCAGCATCCCGGGGACCCGCCGCCACCGCGCCGCTGAGTCCAGGAAGGGCCCGGCCGCACGAAGGATTCAGAGGTGCTCAACCGGCTTCTTTGTCGAGGGGGGCTTCCTTGTGTAAACCGTTTCCCGCACGAGGGGGGGCGAAGCAGTGCCCCGGGGTCCTGGGGCCCTGGGGTGGTCGGGATCGGTTCAGCTGGCGCTGGGTCCAGTGCTGCCGCCGACAAGGTGCAGCGTGCGCAGACCGAACTGGACGACGCGCTTTCTATTACAACTCGTGGACTATAGGCCAGGCGTTCTTGGAGTGGATGCGCCGCGACAGAGGCCAGGAGGTTCGCCATTACTTTCTGCAGGAGCGGGGGGCATGGCGGGCTTCGCTATGCATGCGGATGCGGCGACAGCCACTGGGGACGGGGCGCTGGAGCATTTGGGCGGAGTTGCTGTGCTTTCCCGCTCTTCGGTTGGGGCGAAGCATCTCGCGCTTGGTTTGCGACACAGGCTTACGACTGACGCTCAGATAGTGTTTGTCTCGGCCTACCTTGTGACCAATGAAGGGTTGGGTCTGAGGAGCCAAAACCTCCTCTCCATTCTAGGCGAGTTCGTTGTGTTTGTGGTTTATGATCGTCGGCGGTGACTGGAACATTCCCGTGGGCGAGCTGGTGGCGTCTGATTGGCCGGGCTTGTTGCGCATCCGAGCTGTGGCGCCTGAGGATGACTTTTGCAATAACAGCGTCCTTGATTTGTTTTTATGATGTCGCAGTGCCTCCTCCCGTACGTGACAAAAGGTTTCGGCCATTTTAGACACGCCCCGAGGTCCGCGTGTTGGGGTTTCCCTGGGGCAAAATAAGAAAAACACCGGCAACATATTGGCAGCGTGGAGGAGGAAGAGGATGGTGATGATGATGATGATGATGGTGATGATGATGATGATGATGATGATGATGATGATGATGATGATGATGATGATGATGATGATGATGATGATGATGATGATGATGATGATGATGATGAGGAGGAGGAGGAGGAGGGGAGGAGGAGGAGGAGGAGAGGATGATGGATGATGATGATGATGATGATGATGATGATTGATGATGCTGATGATGATGATGATGCTGATGATGATGATGATGATGATGAGGAGGAGGAGGAGGAGGAGGATGAGGAGGAGGAGGAAGAGGAGGAGGAGGAGGAGGAGGAGGAAGAGGAGGAGGAGGATGAGGAGGAGGAGGAGAGGAGGAGGAGGAGGATATGGAGGAGGAGGAGGAGGAGGAGGAGGAGGAGGAGGAGGAGGAGGAGAGGAGGGAGGAGAGGGGGCGGAGGGGGAGGAGGAACTGGAGCAGGGAAAGCGAAGAGGAAGGAGGAGGAGGAGGAGGAGGAGGAGGAGGAGGAGGAGGAGGGAGGAGGAGGAGGAGGAGGAGGAGGAGGAGGAGGAGGAGGAGGAGTTGGAGCAGGAGGTGGACGAGGAGGGGTATGACAAGTGGCCCGAGAAGAGTGATGGTGGCTTTCTTGCTCTGTCTGTGGCCCTTTGACAGGGACTGCAAGGTGCAGGAACTATGATTGATTACCCAGGAGGAGTGCAGGAATAGAGGAGGATGAGGAGGAGGAGGAGGAGGAGGAGGAGGAGGAGGAGGAGGAGGAGGAGGAGGAGGAGGAGGAGGAGGAGGAGGAGGAGGAGGAGGAGGAGGAGGAGGAGGAGGAGGAGGAGGAGGAGGGAGGAGGAGGAGGAGGAGGAGGAGGAGGAGGAGGAGGAGGAGGAGGAGGAGGAGAGGAGGAGGAGGAGGAGGAGGAGGAGGAGGAGGGAGGAGGAGGAGGAGGAGGAGGAGGAGGATGATGATGATGATGATGATGATGAGGAGGAGGAGGAGGAGGAGGAGCACAGGAAACATCATGTCCACCTTCTGCCTGCCCCTTCTGCACCTTTTCCCCCGCGGAGGTCACATCGCTGGTGTGCTGACCACTCCACCTTCAGCGCCCTCAACGTTGATGGGATATGCCATCCGCGGCCTGGCAGGGGTCTAGGCCCGGCCCTGTTGCTGGTTGTCCTTCGTGGATAGAGGAGGGAGGGAGGAGAGAGGGAGGGAGGGAGGGAGGGAGGGAGGGAGGAGGGA